TTAAGAAAAGTTACATCTTTCGAAATAAGAAAGCGGTACAATTTATGTGTGGATAACGATGGCGCATATATCGAGCAATTGTTAAAATAAGATTTGTGAATTAGCAATTAATTTTTACTAAATACAGTTCATGTTATTCTTTAATGTTTTATGTATGTTTTATGGGTTGTTAGTGTAAACTTTGATTATTTCCTAAACAATTACATAAGTGTTATTAAATGTAGGAACATCTTGTAAATTGTTTTCTTTAAATCCTAAATTATATTTGTTGTCAATATCAGCATAAAAGTTAGCCTGCCTGATTTAGTGAAATTTAAAAACCCAGCATTTTTTGTATGGCAATCGACAAATTTAAAACATAAAAACTGGTCTGTAATGCTTGAATGGTTTTAGATGGAAAAAAATGGTATTTGAAAAAAGTGTTTCTATTGAATAGATCTTTCAATTTCTGAAATAAAAATGGTATGCTTCTGACAAAAAAAAAATTGAAGCGTCGCGACGCCCAGCGTCGCTTATTTATAACTTCCTTATCCATCCCAATTTTAAGCATTAGCCGGCCCAAATAAAATACTTTTCACAAAACTCAATTTGCTGCAGCCGTTTACGAGAAAAACTCATTTCCCATGATAAAAGAATCACCCTGTACATAGACGTATTGATGAAATGAGCTCTGATCTTGAAAGTTTCTTGTGTGATTATCAGAGCTCCTCTATTTACATTTAAAACCCGGTCATACATTGCAAAGAAACGTAGCGCGTAGCTATTTCGTAAATGAACCGACATGCGTTTCCTGGTGCGCTGTTGTCAGGCTGTGTAGTTTATCCCTTTCATATTTAAAAATAGTTTTTACCTATAACTCACTAATAGCAACAAGTTTTATTAATTAGAATAGTTTCGAGATATATTGCGACACATCAAGCGTCCCTACCAATTCATTTTCGTACTTGGTGCAGTGTTTCCAACTCCGACGCATTGTGAGCCGAGATGTTACAATATTTCCCGAAACATTTCTAATCGTAAATCTCTAAATAAAATGACTTGTAACAAAACAAAAAACATAAAATATGTACAAAGTAGATTAATCTAGTTTAACTGCTTTCAGCATACTTGATATTTTAGCAGCACCTATTTTTACACCATTAGGCAGGGCATTTTTGTACCTATCGTTTTTACATACATACGCTTGCTAAATGAAACGTGATCTTGTTATTTTATCTATTTTTATAGTGTTTTAAGCTCTTATGATTTTGGGTAGTGGGTTAGGTTATTAAACAACTCGTATTACTTTGAAAAATAATGTTGAGACCACTATATTTAAAACTTACTAAACTTGATTATCGATTAATGATAAAATATAGAAAATCACTAACCATTAAGATATTATAATTAAATAAGGTTTCAGATAAGGTAGTGACAAATTCTAATTCACAGAGACTTACTTATTCAAATTTAAATGATTTATTCAAAACTTATCTGTTATATAAGAGGTAGTATTTAAGGAGAGACTTGTAGAGGCCTTCTTCAAAGGGATTCGTATGATATACTTCGGATATCACCAACTGTTAAGTATAAATCTTCCTAGGTAAACTTAAATCTCATAAACTTCTTTAGATGACTCGAACTAAACCTCTTGATATACTTGAAATAAACTTCTGTAGCTGGAACTAAATTTATAAGTTTCTATACTTCTAAACATGCAGCTTGAACGTTCTTCCAAACTTCTAAACAATCTCTTTCGATATAACTTCTACAGAACCATCTAGATACAGCCAGGCTTTTTAAAATCAGACTGTCATTAAAAATATTAATAGACAATTAGTACATCGGATGTCCAAAATAAAAGATAATTTTCAAATCAACCTATTCGTTGACAGATACCAAATCGAAATGAATTACCAACTTTAGACATAAGGCATAAACGACTAATGACATTTGTGTAGAGGTGTTGGTGTCAAAATAGCGAAAACGGTTCCGACCGTTACAATGTTTGGGTCTAAATAACAAAAACGGTTTCAACCGTTACACTTTGCAAATACTAAGATAAACTATGGCAAACACCATTATTATTCCTGCAAATAAATGCAAGGATTTTAAAAGCATTAAAGGTGACACCACCGCAATTTAAAATAATTTTATTTCATTCATACTATACGTCACGGACGTCACGTATAGTATTTTATCCATCGATAGTTTGCGACGTTGCGATCCAGTAAATTGTTGCATTTTGGGTGTTTTTGTTAATCTTTAGACTTTTTTGGAAAAATTTCGGCTTGTGTATAGCTAACAACATGGTTCGGGAGTGCATTTTGAGCAAAAAACTGGAAAATGTGGGTGCTGAAGTATCTTTTCATAAGTAAGTAAGGTTAGGTGATGATGTATTGCATAGTTCAGTGGTGTAGATTTAAAGATTTTTGCAGTAATATCACATGTATTATCTACTTTTATAAATATTACTATTATTTTCTTTGATCTTTCAACATTATTAATTTCGCAAAAACTTGTAATTAATTAATTAGTCTGGACTATAGTAGTAAAATAAATATGCTTATGCTTTATTTTTAGATTCCCAACTGAAAGGCATACAAGAAATATTTGGCTATCACTTTTAGGACTTGAAGAAAATGAAGGTATCTAAAAAAGGTGTTATGCTCGGAGCATTTTGATCCTAATGATATTCTTCAAAAAGCAAATATATCAGGCCTAGAGTACTGTCAAAACTAAGTTCATTGTTTCGAGAAAGCTCATTTAGGTAACTAAAAAATTTCTTAATTATGTTTCGGAAGTGTTCATTTAAGTGTTTATCCTTTAAGATGAAAATTGGTAGTTTATCTTACAAATAAATTTTTATATTGTAAGTTCTTTAAATTTTGTAGGTGCTTAACAAGGACAAACTTTTTTATAAACTCATATTACATGCCTCTTTCTTTGATTATTTTCATGTACTACCTTATTATTAATCAAAATGTATACTTATCTTTACATTAAAAGTTCTGAATACTCTGTTACAGCTCCGATTCCAGTATCAGTATTTTTGACAGCTCTAGTAAGAAACCAGAAGATAATTTATCTATGTCGCACACATTTATGGATGATAATAAGTAAGTCAGTTTACTGCCTAGTTTCACAAGTTAAAAACTATTAATGGATAGGTTTATTGTACAGTTCTACGTATTTTCGGATTTTACTAAATTCTTATTACCAGATCCGCTATAAGAAGCGTTCCATTTAAAATCCCCACCTTGTATATAAGTATGGTAAATTTATTGATTTAATAACTTTTATAAATTTAGTAGTGTTAAAAATCTAAATTTTGATTTAAAAATCTCTTATTTACCAATTTGCAGAACTGTTCAAATTTTAACCCCAAAATTGAATTCGTAAATTTGTTTAAAATAAATCTTGATCTATTTATCTTGTTTTTATTTTATTTATTTTATTTTATTTTATTTAACATCTTTATATGTAATAAATGTATTATTCTTGGAAGAAAATAGTGTTTTTAAGCTTTTGACCTACATTCCACTGAACTTCATACCCTTATACCAAATCATTAAAGTTTAAACCATTATACAGTTTATTGCACACCATATCGGTTAGTATTTCATTATTTTTTTATAATCAGTTATGATTTTATCTTTAATAAGATACGCCACTGGTATTAACAGAATTTTAGTTGCATACAACAGCAGCGTTGCCAGACGAGATTTTCGATTACAGTCTGTCTTCTTTCGATCCGCGTAAAATATCTTCTTTCTCTTTTCCGATGATTGGGACCAAACAAAACATACTTTATGAATGAAATGCATCATATGTTGTTTCTTTTATCTAAGGTGATTATCTACTAACAACTCATTTTTCTATTCAACTGGACGAGTCAACTTTACCTGGCAATGAAGCATTATTATTGGCATATGTTCGATTTGTTATGGGCGAAGAAATTCATGAAGAGCTACTATTCGCGAAAACTTTGAAGACGGACACTAAAGCTGAATCAATATTTAATGTTTTGAGTGATTTTTTTAAAGAAAAATCGATTCCATTCACAAACGTTATTTCGGTGGCAACAGATGGAGCTCCTGCCATGGTCGGGCGATATCGCGGGTTTATAAGCCATCTTAAAAGAATTATACCAGAGGTAATTGCGATTCACTATGTTATCCACCGACAACATCTAGTAACGAAAAATTTGAGTGATAGATTGCACCAATCGCATCAATTTGTGATTAATGTAGTCAACAAAATAAGAAGCAATGTATTGAATACGCACTTATTTACACAATTGTGCGATGAAAATGATGAGAACTTCCAACGATTGCTGTTACATAACGAAGTACGCTGGTTGTTGAAAGGTGCATGTTTATCAAGATTTTATTTACTTTTTGACTCAGTTTTAGAGTTTTTGGAAAGTAAAGATCCTGATTTAAAAAAAAAAAACTTGATCAATTTTAAAGCAGATTTGACAGATTTGTTCAAAAAATTTATTGACCTCAACAAGGGGACAGCCTCAATTTAATAAAAATAAAGAGTGTAATTTCAGCTTTTCTTGGTAAATTGAAATTTATGAAGGAACATATCGGTCGGCGCAAATTTTCACAGTTTTCAAACTTGTCGCAGGTAGAATGCCTTGATGAAGATATTCAGACATACGTTCAACATTTGATTGCACTGCATGATGATTTTAAATTCAGATTTGTCGATTATGTCTACGCCCGATGTTTAAAAAAATTGGAAATTTAGCAATTGCTTCGGTACCTAAGGCATGAATCTACCATAGTCTCAAAAATTAAAATTTGTACATTCATAATTTTGGTATTGAATCCACGTTTTTTCAGTTTAGAACAGAATTTTCAAACTCTGAAAAAAACGACTAACATATTTTGTTTCTACTGTATAAATAAAATATGTTAACTATTTCAAATATATTAATTATTACAAACAATTTTGTTTTACATAAAATATGTTAGAAATTTTTTTTTATCCTTTATCGTATTAGATTTTAGTATAAAAGTATTTTTGAAATTAATACATCAGTTTGTAATAATGGCAGTTTTATTACAAAGTTTGGTCGTTCTGTCGATTTGTGCGGTCTTAAATGCCGCAGCATGTAATAATGTTGAACAAACTAATAATAATTGTGTAGCAGGTAAGCATGTTCAGTTTTTGCATTTTAAATGTGAACCTGTATTAAATAATGTTGATTAATATGTACTCTACAACCCTCCGAGCAATTACTAATAGAGGGAGCGTGAAAACGAGTTTGTAGGCGATTGTTGTGTTAGCAACATCTGTAGAGGAAGTGTGGAAGCGGGCACAAGGGGGTAGGTAAACATCCTTCTTGTTCAGTGGCGTATCATTTATCTATAAAAATACACATTGTCCAAACGTTTTAATTGTAAAAAACAAACAAAAAATTTGCTAATTTTACTATTTTTAAAATGAATACCGTCTTATATGTGTCTAATGCAGGAAATGAAACAAAATCACTGTAAAGGTCTAATTTTTTCAATTGAAGAATAAAAACTTAAAATCAATTTTTTTATAAATAAATACAGGAGCGACTAGTTTCGGCCTTACAGGAACATCTTCAGGCCTGTAATATAATAATCTTTAATTATTATAATAGGTTGGTCACTTACGAATAACATTAAATAGTATAAACCACAAAAATGGATCCATATTGTAGCGTTACAGCATTATAGAATTAAAGATGTGAAAATAAAAGAGCAGTGCAAACGTAACTAAAAATAAGAAAACTGAGTACGGAATCTACAAGAGAAGAGGTGAGAATGAGCAATTACGAATGCATTTAAATTGCTCGGGATAACAAATAAAGCTGATAATGTAGTGGTATAGTCCCCGTCAAAGAAGGTCTGGATATGTTAAAGAGGACGGCGTTTTCTCTGTAAATATGGAGAATGTTAAGACGGAGGGAAGATGAATCTTGCTGGCTCAGGTGTAGATGGCTAGAAAAAGGAGCGTGTAGATGAAAGCTCCAGTAAATATCGTCACTTTCGTCTAATTTTTTATTCTCACTCTCCGTTTCGGCTTTATCTTCGAAATTCATTTTTAAATGGAAATAAAAGTAATCATGCATGCATGCATATAATAAAACAACATTAATTCATTATTATTAATAAGCTAATAAACGTTTGTTTCAATGAAAAAATATATAAATAGATAAGATTAATATCAAAATCCATTTGAAAATACAACAGATAATAAAATGAAATAAATTAATACAAGTACAAATAGAAAGTTATTAACATACCTTCTAAAAGTAACATATTTTAAGTAGATAAATGTTTAAAAAGTTTATTCCTGAACATAACTAATCTAACGTTTTTCCCCTTTTTAATATTATGAGGGTTTTTGTAGTTGAAATGAAAATTATAATTTATTTTGGTTCTAATAAAAATTTAAACATAGGTTATCAAAGAGTAAAATACATAATAGAACTTCATAATCTTAAATCGTTATCAAAAATTATTAATGGTAAAACTTCAAACAATAATTAGATACTTAAACAAATTTCTAGTTTTTGTTTTGCAAAAGACTTTTTTGCCTTCTTCGGTTGCCTCTGCCACTTTTTTTTTAGTAGTTTTGAGGAGAATTTTCCTATGGAAACCAGTAGAACCATCAATTGGTTGGTAAAATTTTGATATTTTGGGTCTGGTAAGTCTTGTTAAACTTTCTTCTTAAGAAGCTGTTACCTTATGGAGAATAAAAATTGTATGTTAGATCAAAAGCTCTTAATTGAGAATTATATTTGCAAAGGCCGTTTTAATAATATTTTCAAAAGTTCTTGGAATCGTTGTTAACAGAAACCTGCAAAAAAATATATCATTTTATTCCTAAAATATAAGATATCACACAATGCACATTCATATAATATCATTGTGCTAGAAAAATACTAGGTAGGTACTGAGACAATTTAAAAAAAGTATTTTGAGAAACTCAACTTTTAATGTGATCATTGTACTTACTTAACTTTTTTATTGCTAAATTATTAATAATGTCATTTTGTGTATTTCGTTGTGATTTTTATAATATATATTATAAAAACCTATCGTCAATGTTAATGTGCCAAGTTTTTTTAATAATTATGTCGTTGTTATACTAAAAACACATTTAAACACATTTTTAAAGTTTTCTGGATTTCTGCTTTAAATTATCGTACAATTGAACTGACTAATTGTGTGTTTAAGTAAAGGTATATTTTTTTTGTTATAATAGTCTTTGTATATTGTTCTAACTTTTTAGATAATCAGAGAAAACAGTAAGACATCTTAATATATCCTATTTCACCAACAAAAATGTAGAATAATTAAACTCACATCAAACGAAAAAAGTCATTTTAGGATGTCCTAATAGGTTTTAACTTAAAAACTAAATAAAATGTATATTGCAACTGTGTTTAAATAAATTAATGTTTTTATACCTGACTATAGCACCAGACAAACATTTTTTTAGATCATAATAATCTGCATAACTCAAAATAGTCAAAATCCACATTATTTAAGTTGTTCTAGTATTGTTTTAGCATAACGATGTAAACTCCAATAATAAATATTCACATTTTTTTGGGACGTTTTTTAAAGAAATTAAAAAAACGAATAATGCGATATTCTTGCTTAGTTTTGTACTATACAGGGTGTTATTGAAATACACGTACATATTAAAATGGGGAATAGTATGTAATGACCATAAACGATTGGCACCAATTTTAACTTCAAATTCTAAAATTTAAATATTGGGGAAGAGTCCCCTTTTCCGACCTACTAGTTTCCATATTTAAAGAAGTAAAATAAATCGAAATTGAACTTACCCATAGAAATTGCACTGTTGCCGTAGCAAAACCAATTAATTCAAAATAAAGTTTATTACAGTAATTGTTCAAAATGCCGTCCATTATTATTTACACACACTTGCAATCGTCTTTCCAAAGAACTTTGAACATTAGAAATTAGTCTTGGATTTTGTCTTAGTTCCTCGGCTACCGCATTAACTTTATTGGTTAATTGTTCAACACTATTAATAGGTTCATTATAAACCAGTTGTTTCATGTGACCCCACAAAAAGAAATCGCATGGATTTAAGTCCGGAGATCTCGGAGGCCACTTAGAAGGTCCATTTCTGCCTATCCACTTTTGAGGAAATCTAATGTTCAAAAACTGCCGTACGTTTAAATCAAAGTGAGGAGGAGCGCCATCTAGTAGGTACCACATCCGTTGCCTTAATTGTAACGGTATCTCTTCTAGGAGTACTGGCAAAATATCTTCTAAAAAGTGGAGATATCCTGGCCCATTTAATCTGTTCGGGAGAACATAAGGCCGCCTGATTAAATACTGATCTATTATGCCAGCCTAAACATTTATTGAAAATTTTCTTTGATGCCCAGTTTCCCTAATGGCGTGAGGATTTTCATCACTCCAAATATGCGTATTGTGCATATTGAACACGCCATCACGAGTGAATGAAGCCTCGTCAGTATACAATATTTTTAGAAAATCAGGAATATCAATCAACACATTTTTGAATCATCCATTCACAAAACTCCACTCTCTTTTCTTCATCACCTGGATATAAGGCCTGGACTTTTTGGATGTGATAAGGATGTAAACCTTGTTCTTTAAGTGTCCGCCACACAACAAATGAGGACACTCCAATTTCAAGACCTAGTCTTCTACAACTTAATTGAGGCCGGTTTTCAACAGCTTCCAATATTTCTTCTTCGGCCGCCAATGTTCTTTGTGTTCTTGTTCTCTCTCGATCTGCATTGACACTCTCAAATTTTCCATGGTCTCTTAGATGCTGAACAGTTGAAATAAACGTACGACAGTCCGGAATTCTCCGATTTGGAAAGCGTTCGCGATACAGTATTTGTGCTTGCCGAGAATTTTCTCCAGCTGCCCCATAAACCAGCACTATATCCGTTAGTTCAATATTCGTAAATAGTGGCATCGTAAAAAAATATTTAAAAGTAATCGTAACAACACTTTTTACCAACTTGGAAATGACGCGCTCGTGTTAGCCAGATTCGTAAATCAACTAAAATTTTAATAATCTATAGTTTCAAAAATGTATAGTTTAAAAACAATCATTTATCAAATATTCTAGTTTTTTGATAACGAGGGTAGTAAAAACCAGTCTTCGGAAATAGAAATTAATTCGAAAATCTTGGCAACATGGTTATTTCTTACAAGACTAGTTTTCTTATCATCTGACAAAAACTTGCATATTAATTACTGTTGATGTTTAAAATAGGTAAATAAACCTAATTTATATAGGTCATCCTCAACATATCAGTGAAGTACGTTTGTTTTAGAATTAATTTTCAAAAATTAATAACTCCCTTAATAAGGGGTATTTTTAAAAAATAATATTTTTCTACATTCAGTGGGGATCTGCGCAATACCCAGTTTTAATATATACGTGTATTTCAATAACACCCTGTATAATATAGTTCATTAGGTAGTGATTTAGAAGCAAATTATGTCCTATTTATAGAATAAAAAATCACTCATAATATCTAAATATTTATACCTATTTATATTTTGGACAGGAAGACTATTTTATGTTTTTGGCTCTGAATAGTTTTCTTAAGAATGTTAAAACCTTCCTTAGCTCTTTTGGGATATTCCATGCATATCTTAGAAGTTCATTTTGTTTAAACCTAAAACAAATTAAGTACAAAAAATGAAAATTTAAACAATACACAAAGTTAGTCTTTTAGATTAGTTAAAAAAAAGTGTTAACAAAAAAATGGCTATGTCTTTTTCCTTAAACATTCTTTTTGAAAGAAACTTAAGTTTCTCTACTTACTTGCTGTTTTAGTATTTTAGTAGCAGATGAATATAGTGTAGAAGTAGTGACAGGATTGATTATTATACTTCTTTCGTCGAAATTGCATTTTTCTTTAATATTTTCCTCTCCTGAGGTCTGTAATAAAAATGTTCATTAGCATAAAAAGTTATTCAGGTGGTTACTTGTTGAATTCCTATATTTTGGAACCATGTATTTCTTTCTCATATCAAGAAAAGGAAACCTAAAAAAATAACAATAAACTTTACAAAGATGTGATATTAAAATAATAATAAGTAATTAACCTTTACTATAATCATTATGAGACGGATGAAGACGAACTTAGCTGGAGTTTACTTGCTTTTAATTTTAATTTTTCGATAAGAAAATAAGAACGTTTAATTGCAAATTAAAGGTGATTGCCTAATGCACCGCCTCTGATAATTAGGTTGTGTCTGTACTTACTTATGATATTATCTTGAAGAAGCATTTTCAACAGGCCTTTTACACATAAAGCATGTTTTCACCATATTATTAGAGATAATAAATCTTAAATATACATTTACAACCCCTACAACGTTATAAATAATAATATTTTCCGTAAAATACAAATAAGAAATTGACATATGTCAGAAAGTGTCAGAACTGGCGCTGTCAAACTTGGCAACGCTGATTAAATAAACCAATTAGAGAAGAGGTATTTTCCCCCTCGGGGGGAGTAGATGTTGCTAACAAAATTTAGCGCGGGGAAGGGGGAAGACTCCCTCTAGTAGTAATTGCTCGGAGCTACAACCTGTGATTGTCCATAAAGTGACTCTTATTCGTCATTTTATTATTCTCAAAACCGGTTTCTAATTTATATTCATAGTGCAACATTTTTTTAGACAGCTCTTTCCTTTATATTGGAAAGCATCTGCATTTGTTTGTTCTCTTGAGATTATCTCATATATTCTTATATATTCTTCTGTATCTCTTTGATACATTTGACTCTCCCGTAAAGGTAGCGAGAAATTGTCTTACCTACCTATTTCCAGCGAAAATTGTAAATTCTGTCCATAGATAATTATTCTATCATTGAATACCACGACTATTATTATCACGCATGGTGTTATTCATAAGTGGTGGATTATTATCCATTGATCTGATGGTTATTTCGCTATTTCATCCATTGGTTTAATTGACATCTTTACCAGTTAACCTGCCGTTAATGATATTGCTTTGATTGGCCAAGGCTTCCCTAATATATGGGCCAGGGTTAGAATGAGATTTTTAACTTCCGAATGTTGTTCAAAAAATTACCAAAAATATTATTTAAAAAAATTCTAAATAGGTACAAACTACAATGAAATTGAACACACTCATATACTTATTAAGGAATTCTTTGAAATAAATTAAATAAAAGAAATAATTTTAATTTCTGTTATGAATATTACGCCTGCTAACGGCAAAGTTAGGAACTTATAATTTGCCGTGATTTTTAGGGGCCACTTTTGTTATATTTAAAAAAATCTTAGTTTTGTAGGATAAACCATTCCTTAGATGATATTTGGACACCCGGTACAACATTAACATACGGCTTACTTTGTCAAAAGGTTAGATCTATCTAGTGTGTAAATACTACCTACAGCATCCACCATGACTATTTTCATAGGCATTATTTAATATTTGGGTTTAATAATAATTATTGAAATATGTTTTATGTAATCGGTTGTCTATTTTTTTTTTTTTTTTTTAATGTAGATTCATGGGAGCAGATTTTTCGAAGCCCTTCAAGATCTTCAATACTGCCACTGTTACGTTACAAAAATAAATTGTACTACATGGGCGTCCATTTTAGGGTAATGTTTTTTAAGCTTTCTAAAAGGTATAATTTTTAAATCATTTGGAGCTAAAATATAGTGATGTTGGTAGACAAATTTAGTAACTATGTTCTTATTATTTAATATACAATAATTATTATAGCATTAACACAAATAACCAAAAAATATAAACAATCATAAAATTAACTATTTATGTAACCAGTTAGAAAATGTTTTATTTTTTTGACAAAATTGACAAAATTTTCATGTAGCCAACCTTCTTTCCTCCGATATAAACTTTTAAAATCAGAAGCAATATACAGTATCGGCTATCGAACGCTTTCCAATACGTTTTTCCCAAGTGCGTGTGAAAACCATAGAGAGTTATCATTAGGGCTAGCAGGAAATGAACAATATCAGCGATGCCAGTAGTTTATACGGCCCAGCCAACGCTACAATGCGGTCGGGCCCTATACACTGGCACAAGGTGTCCCATTACGAATGGGACATAGAACAACTGAAGAGTCTTTGAATAAGACGATTAAACGAAATAAGCTTGAACAAAATGTTACTCGTTTAAGAAATATTTAACGTTTGAAAATTAATAAATTATTAATGGTTATAAACTATTTAGCACTTAGTATAATTTTACTAAATTCGGCAAATGTTTTTGGTGTCATAAGATTCACCTATCAGTCAAATAAATTTTGCCAGTGGCGTACGGCATGGGTGAGTAACATCTTCATCCCTTCTAAATTTTACAATATCCAAAAACTTATTTGGACTAGTATTGTAAAAAATTAAAATTACAAAATTTATAAATAAATTTAAATTAAGAGTATCTACGTTTGAGTGCGAATATCTCGAAAACCAATCACTTTATAAATTCCCAATCAGAGTACATGATTTATTTAAAAAACATCAATTGTAGTCCAAATAAGTTTTTAGACAGTGGTGTAAATTTAGAATAGGTAAAGATGTTACTTAGCCATACCCAGCAAACACAAATACGTACATAAGACGTACTATGTACGTACTGATGGGACGTAAAGTATGTACAATGTACGTACTTTACTGTACGAAGTCCGTAAATACTACATACATAATACGTAATTTTCCAAACGATGGTACGTACGTAGTACGTACCTAATGTACGTACTGTGTACGTACTTAATGTACATACTGTATACGTACTTAATGTACATACTATGTTTGTACTCATTTCAATAGAGTACATATTCTAGACGTACTTTACGTCCTTATTGGTACTTACTTATGTTGTATAATGTACGTATTAGTGCAATGCAAAAAAATCTGATGTTTCCAACACATGACTTTCCTATCTAGTTATTATAGGATTTTTCCGGTTATTTTGTACAACCTATTGCAGCACCTCTATAAATGTTTAGAGGATAAACTAAATATATACATTTTCCACATACATCTACATCGAAACTTTTTTCTATAGATATTCATTGAAAACGAAAATACTGAAAAATTTAAATTTAGCACTTTTCCTACAATTTTTCCATTACGGTCCATTTTAGGAAAATCATGTATAAACAAAAATTATAGAGATCGATATCGCAAACAACGAACCATTTCAGGAAATTTACACATTTTCTCAAATATCTTGAATACAGTCCATTTTCGAGAAATTATGTATAGGATAAAAATTATAGAGATTTATATAACAAACAACTTTTATTTAAATAATTTTTATCAAAAATAATTTTTTTTACATTTAAAAAAATAACAGATATATTCCATAAAATATAAAAATGACCACTTATAAAGTACCCCGCAGATGTTCCGACTCTGCCCAAAATCTAACCAGTTCATTGGACGGTGGAATAAAGCTTAAGTTTAAAATTTGGTATTTTTCTGTGTATCGGTTCATGAGTTATGGTGGATACAGACACAAACACACACACACACACACACACACACACACACACACACACACACACACACACACGCACACACGCACACACGCACACACGCACACACGCACACACGCACACACGCACACACGCACACACGCACACACGCACACACGCACACACGCACACACGCACACACGCACACACGCACACACGCACACACGCACGCACGCACACGCGCACACGCGCACACGCGCACACGCGCACACTCGCACACACACACACACACACACACACACACACACATACACACACATACACACACACACACACAAACACACACAAACACACACAAACACACACAAACACACACAAACACACACACACACACACACATCATCGCGAAAATAGTTAAAACGGATTCAGGGGACCTCAAAACGTAAAAATCCGTCGAAAACTCGAGGTCGAAAAAAATCATGATTCCTATAATTTCCTTATATCTGTATACAGATAGGAAAGTAAAAAAAAATCCAAACATCTTACCCACTACAACTGCAGCCAACTATAATTTGTTGCCAGCTGATTAGTTATTAAGGTAGCAGCCATACTTCATTTGTCTAAAATATTCATTGCCTTTTGTAGCCTTTTTGTAATGGTTACTATGGGATGGGATGGAATGACATATCTATAAAGTATATTTTATTACATATAATTTTTTTAAATTAAAAAGAAACCACTCACCAGAATAAAATGTCGAAACTATGTACTTATAACACACATTTAAAAGTCTAAAGAACTGTCTTGTTCAATTATAATAAATTATACACAATTATTTATTTAAATAAACACTTAATAGTTAAATCCTTAAACATGAAAAACTAACAAAACAAACTGTTGAAACAGTTGAAACGTGGTTGCTTGCAAAACATAAAAAAACGAGCCAGTTTAGTAATTAGTTTAGAATTTAGATTAAGTTAAATAAATTATGTGTTTCTTCTTTGTATTTTTCGGCCTACGCTCACCAGGAATTTGGTAAAAATATCGATTTTTCAATAATGTGTTTTAAATTAGAACATATGTATTAAGCATTTTAAAACATGCAAATTTACAAACTTATGAAATATAAATGCCTGATTTTCAAATTTATTAAATAAATAATGTATTTCCATTGAAATATATTTAATTTTTCTAACAATAAACTTAAATTATATAAAAATAACCTGTTTTAGTTAAAAAAAATGGATTAGGTACTTTGGTACTTTAAGTATTTTAAACTTATTATAAAGATATCATGTAGGAATTTCCATGGTATTTTTTTTTCAACTGCTAAGGTTATTTCGCCTCGTGTTCTGTGTAGGCTTTGTTACTGTTTCCCAGCGCCACTTTAGGAACAGCACTGTTAATTAGAACCCAACAGTGAATGATCGAGTGGGGAATCCTACCAAGGCATCAGAATTAATTTTAAATAATTATTCACAGTGCTAACAACCGTAAAAATATTTATTATTTATACAACAAAAGTACTTTAGATAGGCCAAAATAATAATTATTGTCATTCATCGTGGCTTAAATCGTTGAGATAAATGCGAATTATTTATGCGAGTTGCGAATATGACGTCACATTGTGCGAGAGAGACTGAGCTACCTGCGCGTCGTCATACCGGTGTATGTTTACTGTGTTCTTTGGTAAAGTATATTTAATTCCTAAGATGTGTCTTCACTGCACAATAATCTGGAACAAAATTATTAAAGTTATATAGCTGTGTAAGCATCTTTATTAGCTAAAGTTATGTATGTGTCGGTGGATTGTAGCAAATAAAATAAATTTACGATTCTTAAAGTCGGCTGATCAGATAAGCTGCGTCACAAAAAAGAATAAAAACCAAATGAGTGTGATCAGATATAAAGGCTGTATTGTAAACTTCTACTTGGACGGAAAACTAAACGGTTAAACATTTTTTGCAAACTGAAAGCCCCCCCCCCCAAAGTAATTTGTGCCTTCTTCGCCATAAGAAAACACGTAGAAGTTTACAATACACCCTTTATATCCGATCACCCTCATTTGGTTACTATTCTTTTTTGTGACGCAGCTTATCTGATCAGCCGACTTTAACAAGTATTAGAAATTAAAAATTTAAAAAACCGACTTCAAAAACGTGTAGATGCCATCTTCACATCTTAACCAAATTTATATGGGACCACCCCTGAGGTACCCCCTTACTAACAAAAAAAGAATCATATAAATCGGACAAGGTGGTAAAGCATATCGCTAAACATACATAAAAAATGAAGAGTTTGAGGATTTTCTCATGGGCCCAATTATTAGATTTTAACCAAATTTATATGGGACCACCCCTGAAGTATCCCCTTTCTAACAAAAAAGAATTATTGAAATCGGACATCGTGTTAGAGAATTATCGCTGAACATAAAAAAAATAAAAATATCGCGACGAATTGATAACCTCCTCCTTTTTTGAAGTCGGTTAATAAAATAGGTATGCAACCAGGATTACGTACACTTAGGTACGTACTTGGTAAGTATTTTTCTGTACATACTGGTACGTACTATTGTGTACGTACTTGTAACGTACATTTTACGTCCTGTACAGTGCCAAAACTTTACTTACTTGAGACGTACTGTGCTGTTTGGGTACCATAGGCTATTTGCAAAGTTTACTTAACTGATTTTCTCGCTGAGATGTTTATCATGTTTGCCGAATTTAGTAAAATTATACTGAAAAATAAATAAATTATACCCATTAATAATTTTTTAATTTTTAACTTTAACACCCTGTGTTTCTGTAATATTTTATAGAAGCCTGTCAGGTTTAAAATTTTTATAGTTCGCAGAGGTGTAAAAATATTTTCCAATATACAGGGTGACATCAAAAAGCAATGTAAAGGAAAATTTATTTATTTCAAATGAAACACCCTGTATTTTATATTATTTTTGAATTCTACCAAAAAATTGTAGTATTTTTGTTTCAAACACATGTTTAAATTCAATTGTTTTCAAGCTTTTGACATTCGAAAATTGACTTTTTCACATTTTGTCAAGCTGTAGCACCCAAACGGTTGAAATAGGTTAAAACGGTTTATATATTCCTGTCTTAGTTTGACATACGTTATATAAATATGCAATAAAATAGCCCACTTTCGGTTTAAGCGGAAGTTAGATTTTTTAAATTCACTCAATACAAGAGTTCGCATATCTAAACATGATATAAAAAACTAAGATAGGGAGACATGTAAACCGTTTTACCCTAATTTTAGAACATCAAAAGCTTGAAAACAATAAAATATAGACACATGGTGTTTTGAGCAAAAATACTTATATTTTTTAGTAAAATTCAAAACTAAAATCAAATACTTAAAATGTTTATAGTACCTTGTTCTTTTTGTGGGTACACTGTATATTTAAAAATATTTTTGCGAAAGGCGCCTCTGCGAACTGTAAAACGTGTATACTTGACATTTTCTCGTGTTTTTAAAAACAACCGAGATATTGGACTAATGGCCCACCCTGTATACACCTCGTATCTACATAGGGACGATATATTGATTTTTAAACTAAAAAATGTTAATTTTTGTTATTTATTCAGATTGATAGTGTTCAAATGTATATAACTAGCTACATAAAGTTTATCATTTTGATACTTGCTGCAGAAAATCAAAGTATGTGCTTGCTGCGATTACAAAAGATGTCACTTTATATGTCAAAATTAAAAAAAAAAAACAATTTTATATAGACGTTATTTCTATGAGTATTCATTCTTAGTGACATGTTTATTTGTTTTCAGGCTAATTGGTATGAAGCTTTACACTTCTGCGAATCTATTCACATGAAGCTACTGTCAATTCATTCTGCTGATGAGAACCAAATAATAAGTAAATACGTTAAAGCAGCAAGTAAGTAAATCGAGAACAAGATGTTCTTCTATTTTTATGACCTCTTGCCTCTAGGTTTATTAGTTCATTTTATTTTAAAACTACCAAAAGTTGATATAGTTACTTTAAATATCCAGATCTAGATACAATTTGCAGTGCAGAGTGAATACATTGACGTCAACATCCAATGTAGTAGTGTTTTCAGCTGCAGAGTACTGTGACCCCAGTTAGGTTAAACGATCAACATACAGTATCGGATTGGGACCTCCAAGGCCTACCGGTTAGGACATAGGAGAACCCATCTTTTTTTATAGACCAATTACTTGAAGAGCAAAAGTCCTCTTTGCACACTGATGCTTCTTCTGAAGTTTTCTTCGCATTTGTTGTTCTCACGGGCTCACTGACTGAAAGAGGGCCCACTGCCTAAACGAGGGCCCACTACCTAAACGAGGGCCCAGTGCTTGAACGAGGGCCTACCGATTTTTTGACCGGTAGACCGACGGCCCAATCCGACACTGTCAACATACCAATCTGGTTTATCTAACCTGATGACTATGATTTACCAAATTAACTTCTTTTAGTGACGTCCAATCTATATCTACTCACATGCATCCCCCTCCAATTCATAGTTTAGGATCAAGCTATTAGATACTTTTTCAATGTATTAGATCACGGATTCCCAAAGTGGTTGATAAATCGGTTTCTCAGGTTTCGACATAAACGAAAATTGATTTTGGGGGTCGACTAGGTCTAGAAATCGACTAATTAACACAAGTTCTTATTTGAAACTTTCAAGATACTGTATAAGTTGTGTTACGTGTACCAAGTTGTTATAAGAATGACTAATATTTTAGTAGGAAGTGTAATTGTAGTATTTTTAAAAAACTCAACAAGTTGATAAGCGTGCACAAGTTCGTACAAGATTAAAAACTCAGCAAGTCATTAAGCGTGGACAAGTTCGTGCAAGATAATGAGTTCGAGCGTATAATTCTTTCAGACACGTTTTGTCTTGCTCTGTGTTTGACGCATATATGCGATTCAACACGAATATTCCTGATACTTTACTATAATAACAAGCTAGCACTTCATTTGCGTTTTGAAATTCGTTGTAGCTTAAATGCTAATACACTCATCTACCAATTTATTTCAAGAGATTACATAGTTAATTTAAGTGAATTAAAATAAATGAATATACAAAGTGCTTAGTTATCTACGTGCGTTAATAGCGTAACCATACATTTCTACAGTTTGTGAGAAAGTAACGAGGTAAGTACCATAAAACGTTTTAATATTTTTCTATGTATTTTTTGAAATTACTTTAGAAAAGTTGTTACCTAAAATTATTAAGGTTTAGTTTTTTACACTGATTACCTAATACAAATTTTCTATACTACAGTGACTATATCCAAGTTCATTGATGAGTAAAGTTCGTGAGCGTATCTAAAAAACATCTAGTGCCTAGATGTGATAAAAATAAGCTCGTGTGCAAATTTAACAGTCTTATTATTGTCTTTTAAACATTTTTTTTTATTTGCAGGTTTACTGCGAGTTTTATGATGGCAGACACGAAAAAAATGCAGACAATACAGTTTGGACTACTTGAAGTTTGGATTTATTCCATCTCTATCAAATCAACACTTGCCGATGTGTATCATGTGTGAAAAAGTATTCAGTAACGATGCTATGAAGCCATCAAAAATGGAGGACAAAAAAAGTAAGCCCTTGTCATTCTTAAAGAAAAATTAGAGAAAATGTTATCCATAAGATTGATGTTTGCGTTATCATCTATGCATGACGTTGATGGTTTACGAGTGTCCTATAATATATCTTTACTAATAGCGAAGTCGGGGAAACCCCACACAATTGGACAGCAGCACAATGTATTGCACAAGCCCGCACATGATATTATAGAGAAAATTCCTTTGAGCATAAAGAAAATTCCTTTGAGCATTAACACCGTTCAACGACGAATAGATGAGGTGGGTCGAAACGTGGAAAACATTTTATGCAATTTCTTACAGACCAACATATTCTCTCTCCAGTTAGACGAGTCTACATTATCCGGTAATGAAGCTACATATTTAGAGACTGATACCAGAGGAGAATCGATTTTTCAGAATGTGGAACGTTTTTTTACTGACAAAGCTATTCCATGGAAGAACATTGTTTCTGTTTCGATTGATGGTGCACCATCTATGGTTAGTTTTATAGCTCACTTAAAGCGACAACTGCTTGAGGTACTGGTCTTAGATTACACCAGTCTTTACAATATGTTATAAAAGCTGTGAACAAGATTTAAAGCAATTCTTTGAACTCCCGGTTATTTGCTCAGCTATGTGAGGAAAACGACGAAGTCTTTATTCGGTTACTTCTCCACACTGAAGTTCGCTGGCTATCAAGAGGCTCTTTCTTAGCAATATTTTTAGCTATTTTTGAATTTGTGTTGGAGTTTGTACAAGAAAAGATGCGAGTTTGAAAGAAAATCTGAACTATTGTAAAACAGATATTTATTACTTGACTAATATCTTTGGTATATTTAACAAAGTTAATTTGCAGCTGCAAAACAAAATCAATAATATCGGCCTTTGGGGGTAAACTTATCCTTTATAAACAAAATTTAAGCAGAAAAGAATATTCACAGTTTTACCAGAAATACTTCAAGACGATGTTATTTTATCATATGTCACTTACTTGGACACATTACACAAGGATTTTACTGAGAGGTATGGGGAACTTTTAAATTTACAAATTTCACCATGGATAATAAATCCGTACAATATCACAGCCATGGAAGAAGCCAATTTGATAATGCAAAAAGAGTTGATCGCCATCAGCATAGACAGGGAACCCAAGCAGAAGTTTAACCAAGACAATCAGAAGTTCTAGTTGCAGCTCAACATTGAAACACAGTATCCTGTATTGTGGAACATTGCTGAAAAATACCTTATCGCTTGCTTTTCCATCATCATACCTAGTCGAAAATCTCTTCAGTCTGGTTACAAACATTTTGACAAAACAAGGAAACCGTTTGAAAATCAACGAACGCGGAGATTTAAGTATGCAACTCACCAATATTGAACCAGATTTAGCTAGATTGGTGGAAAGTTGGTAAAAAGTTCATCCATCACACTGATTTTTTTATTTTTTTATCTTTACTTTGTGATTTTAATGTTTTTTTTTTTAATAATTACCTACTTAAGTATTTTTATATAATTTGTATTAATAATTATTAATTACAATTGATATTTACTGAATTTTATGTCTATTTAATTTGTTAAATTTTTGATGAGAGTTTACTTACTTAACCAACCGCAAAGTTTTAAATTTGTATTTTATATTAATAGGAAAAAAACTAGAGATATGACTTTTAAAGTAATTTGGCTATGGGGGTCTGAGGTATCAGTTCATTTTGCAAAAGGGGTCTCTTACCCAAAGTAGTTTGGGAATCCCTGTATTAAATGATAAAGCACGCATCGTTGTCGATGATTGTCGATGTGAACAACTTCGGTAAATTTATAGCCAACTCTCTCTCTATCTCTGTGTATCTCATGTATATTAAGACGTAGAACTGCAAAGATACCTTTCAGATAGCTAATCAAGTCTAATCCACTAAATTTCAGATAAAGGAACCACCGAATTCTGGACCGGAGGTACCAGGCTAGTAGACGGCACCAACTTTGTGTGGATGCCGTATGGTACCCGAGTGGAATACACAAACTGGTCCGGAGGACAGCCCAGTGATGTGAACGAAAAATGCTTACAACTGTGGGGCTCTTCTGATAACCTCACTTGGAACGACAGAGATTGCAATTTAGGTTTGTTTTTTATCTGCGAACGATGCTGTGAATCCAACACTTGTCCACCAGGGCTTTAAGTTTTTTGTACTTCTGCTGTTTAAGATGTTTTAATAAACTACTATGTAATTAGACCGTTTTTTTATTATTATTCGTGTAAAGTCATTAGATAAAACAACTCAAAATCGCTTATCACGAAGTTTTAATTTTATAAGATATTAGTCTAATTCATAAAGCATCTGTAATACAAATACAACATTGATGAACTTTGGAGAGATGAGGACCATTTTTTTAGCTCCTCAGATAAATAAATACAGAAGTCATGTATTACGTTTCTGTCTTATTTGTTACGTTTGAGTAAATTATGTATTACATTGCTGGATAATAATAATTCTAGTCTACACTCACTGTGATTCAAAATGTTTCCTGGCAAAGTGGCGCGTAGTAAAAGTGAAATTAAAACGTAAGAATAAATAGAAAAATTAGATATAATTTGGATATATTTAAAAATAATCGAATGTAATTGAATATAATCGAATATAATTGGAAAGTAATAGAATGTAATTATTGGAAGTAATCGAATGTAATTGAAAATAATCTATAGTAATTATATAATCGAAAGTAATTAAAAACTATTTTGTAATTGAACATAATTATTCAATTAGGTTTTAACAACTTGTACACCTAATGACAAGTGGCATACCCCTTGCCATCCTTTCTCTATGGTCTGAGGCAACATATCAAAGGAAAATATTGGATATTCTGAAAATAATTTTCTACATTTAAAAAAATGTATAATAAGTCCAGATTTACAAATAAAGTTTTTTTTTGCTTACACTGGATGTCCGACGTTGGTCCACTAGATTAAAAACTGTATGTGGTATATTGAAACGAACTTTTTTTTAAGACCGACCAAAAAATTTACACTTTCTGAACAAGTTTTCATCCAAAAAATAACTTTATTCCGATCAAGACCGGAAAGTGGACGTTAGGGACCGGTAAAAGCTTTTTTCTACGTTCGTTGATTTTTAATTTGTTGTTTATGTCAAACTTGTTTTCGCAAATTTAAAAATATAGATTCAGATTTTAAATTATCTGACATAGACAAACGGGTACAACAACTAATTGATAATCAATTAATCACTAGACTAGATTCCGAAATAATTTTAACTTTCCTATCTGTATATAGATAAGGAAAGTATTGGTATCATGATGTTTTTCGACCTCGGATTTTCGACGGATTTTTACGTTTTGGGATCCCCTGAATCTGTTTTTACTATTTTCGCGATGATGTATGTGTCTGTGTGTGTCTGTGTGTGTCTGTGTGTGTCTGTGTGTGTCTGTGTGTGTCTATGTGTGTCTGTGTGTGTCTGTGTGTGTCTGTGTGTGTCTGTGTGTGTCTGTGTGTGTCTGTGTGTGTCTGTGTGTGTCTGTGTGTGTCTGTGTGTGTCTGTGTGTGTCTGTGTGTGTGTCTGTGTGTGTCTGTGTGTGTGTCTGTGTGTGTGTCTGTGTGTGTGTCTGTGTGTGTGTCTGTGTGTGTCTGTGTGTGTGTCTGTGTGTGTGTGTCTGTGTGTGTGTGTCTGTGTGTGAGTCTGTGTGTCTGTGTGTCTGTGTGTCTGTGTGTCTGTATGTCTGTGTGTCTGTGTGTCTGTGTGTCTGTGTGTCTGTGTGTCTGTGTGTCTGTGTGTCTGTGTGTCTGTGTGTCTGTGTGTCTGTGTGTCTGTGTGTCTGTGTGTCTGTGTGTCTGTGTGTCTGTGTGTCTGTGTGTCTGTGTGTCTGTGTGTCTGTGTGTCTGTGTGTCTGTGTGTCTGTGTGTCTGTGTGTCTGTGTGTCTGTGTGTCTGTGTGTCTGTGTGTCTGTGTGTCTGTGTGTCTGTGTGTCTGTGTGTCTGTGTGTCTGTGTGTCTGTGTGTCTGTGTGTCTGTGTATCTGTATGTCTGTGTGTCTGTGTGTCTGTGTGTCTGTGTGTCTGTGTGTCTGTGTGTCTGTGTGTCTGTGTGTCTGTGTGTCTGTGTGTCTGTGTGTCTGTGTGTCTGTGTGTCTGTGTGTCTGTGTGTCTGTGTGTCTGTGTGTATGTGTGTCTGTGTGTCTGTGTGTCTGTGTGTCTGTGTGTCTGTGTGTCTGTGTGTCTGTGTGTCTGTGTGTCTGTGTGTCTGTGTGTCTGTGTGTCTGTGTGTCTGTGTGTCTGTGTGTCTGTGTGTCTGTGTGTCTGTGTGTCTGTGTGTCTGTGTGTCTGTGTGTCTGTGTGTCTGTGTGTCTGTGTGTCTGTGTGTATGTGTGTCTGTGTGTCTGTGTGTCTGTGTGTCTGTGTGTCTGTGTGTCTGTGTGTCTGTGTGTCTGTGTGTCTGTGTGTCTGTATCCACGATAACTCATGAATGGATTCAAAGAAAAACACCAAATTTAAAACTTAAGCTTCATTCCTGATTATATTTTGGGCAGAGTACTTTATAGGGGGTCATTTTTATATTTTATGAAATATATCTGTTAATTACGTTTGGAGAAGAAAATTTTTCAAATAAAAGTTACTTCTTAAATATTTTCTATAATTTTATACATAATTTTTCTAAAATGGTCCGTATTCGAGAAATTTGACAAAATGTAATAAAATATTTTTTTATGAAAATTTTTCAAATAAAAGTTGTTTGTGATATAATTCTCTATAATTTTTGTTTTATACATATTTTTTTAAAAATAGACCGTGTTCGAGATATTTGACAAAATGTGTAAATTTCGAATTTTAACGAAAACTCAAAAATGGATAAAGAAAAACACATTAAATTTTAAACTTAAGTCGGAACATCTGGGGGGTACTTTATGTAGGGTCGTTTTTATATTTTATGAAATATATTTTTTATTTTTGTTTGGAGAAGAAAATTGTTAATATAAAAACTACTTCTTATATTATTCTCTATAATTTTTGTTCTATACAAAATTTTCCTAAAATAGTCCGTATTCAAGAAATTTTTCAAAATGTAAAATATTCTGTTTTTTAAGAAAATTGTTAAACTAAAAGATGTTTGCGATATCGATCTCTATAATTTTTGTTTTTACATGATTTCTCTAAAATGGACTGTAATGGAAAAATTGGAGGAAAAGTATAAAATTTAAATTTTTCAGCATTTTCGTTGACAATGATTGTATATAGAAAAATGTTTCTAGTTAGATGTATGTGGAAAATGTATATATTATGTTAATTTTTAATATTTACAGAGTCGCTACAATGGGAAAAAAAGCCTGTAATAACTCGATAGGAAAGTCATGTGTTGGACACATCAGATTTTTCACATAAGAGAGTGTATCACTACATATCTGTATTTGGAAGGAAAATATTTATCATTGAATGAATAGTTAAAAGGATTTACCTTTTAATCCAATACCTATATTACATTTATAAAATATATTACTTTAGTGTTAATAAAATGTAATTATCCTAGTCTCTACTTCACATTTAAATATATTGATATTTTAAAGATTTGAGATTGTATACCTATTTGCTCCAAGTAAGTATTCGTTAAATATGTATTATTATTTGTATTTATTTTTATCTAATAATATTTATGTAAGTTATTAATAAACATATTTTAAGAATGTTATATTTTATTATTTATTGATATATCTTATATTTATTTAATAATAATATGCAGAACCAACTCTCCACATCAGACCTCTTATAACAAATTAATTCTTTAAAGGAATAATCGACCTAAATTATTTTGTAAAATAAAAGTTTCGAACTTACTAGTTGCATACTTTATTTTATAAAATACTTTTATGTGGAAATCATTTAAAATTTAATTTAGAACTACCTACTACTAAAAATTACAATTTGAATTTACCGCTATCTGTCAATTGTCATTATAGTTCCTGCTCCAAACACAAGGTGACACTAATTTGGTTTAAAAGTCTAACATTGGCGTGGGGTCTCTAGAAGATACGTGCTTTGTGGATTTCACTGTTCAAAAAAGACACCTCATAAAAACCATTCTTTATTTTCATCCCGCTAATGGCTGGTCCATTTTACTTTACGTTCTACCCATTATTCGATCTATATCCCGACATTTTCTTACACTCCGGAAATCTTCTGTTTCCGATGACGTCAGTTCATTCTAACATCAACAATGATTATATCATTCCCTGTCTCTAATAACAACCTTTCTACAATTTATTAACATTCCAAAATCAAACACTTTACAGTCATTTACACATTAAATACTTACTAATGTACAAAAAACAAGAATTTTAAGTTTGTATCTATGATTGATTCAGGTAAGTTTAATAATTATATGAGATATCACCTGGCAGTATTGCTGCAGCCTTGTCTATTTGATCCAAGAATTTACATCAGAAATCAACTACTGTAAATCTTAGGATTAAATTCTAAGAGATGTAACCTCTTAGTAAATAATTTCAAAGGACGTCCATAGTGTAAATCAAATGTCGTTTTTGTCAGAGAGAAAGGGAATTATCCCAAACAAAATCGTTGATGTACTTCAATATTAAAATTGACCTTTTGTAATAACATCAACGATGCCAAACACTCAAAAAACTGTAGCAATTTAAGTTTCCTATTAATGTTTGATCGTTTTAAATATTATTTAGTGTTTCATCAATTTTTTTGAATTTTACGAATTAATTAAGATACTGTTCAAAAAATTAAAAACCAACCTAGAGGTTTACTATTTTTTTTAAAATGGAGTGACACCTAAAAATATGATTTTAGCTAAAGAATAAAATGGCGCTATATTTATTTATAAATCATTATATTATTTCACACTTTAAATCAAAATCTGAAAAGATTATATATGCATAGTTTTAATGATTTTGGACGACTAGGCAAAAAACCTCACTTTTGTAAATTCTCTTTGCGAAAAAATAAGTTTTTTAAGTAGATCCTAACAACAGTATGCAAAACGTATCTACGTAGAATATCTACTTTATTCTAGTTGATTTGCATAAATATACTTAACGTACCTATATTATTTTTTTGACGTATTTTACTAACACTCATCATTAATCACTTCTTGTTAGACATCTTTAAAATGTTAAAACAAAGAAAAAGTGGACGTTTTGACGAAGTTTTTTTATTGGTCGTAACTTTTAGTGTTAACGCATCTGACTAAGATAAAAACGGAGTT